TTGTCCTCTTGATAAAAATACAGGGGCCGGGCTGGTAGTATACGATTTGTTATCGCACGCAATTTCTTTCTATTTCTTATCATGCACCACCTGTTGCATAAGGGGAACCTCCCTTTTTCATCAACCAACCAGTGTGAATCTGGGACATCTATCCAACATCAACACTTGAGCAGTGTTGGTTGATAGGATTCATAATGGTACCCATCGTGCTTGGTTTAATCCACATTATACCTACATTCCCATCAAACCATATCAAGACCCCATCTTATTCACAAATCAGACATGCCAATCCATGACAATCATGTTGTTTCTATATATTTTTTTATTTAACTGGGGGTCACCCACTGACTCTCCTGAGTCCACACGACGGCGATTCCCAATGGCTGAACCCCCGTTTTGCCCTGAGCCGGAGTTGCCTCGGTCACACGGCCTTGCTGCAGATCCCTGGGCATGTCATTGCTTTGAAATTCCCTTTACAAAATCAAAAAATGAAAAGGGAAGCAGCCACAACAAACCCACAGCTCTCCCGCTGTGTTCAAAAAACATTGCAAAACACTTTCATCCTCAGTTCGGACGGCTCTTGCGCTCACGAACCTCCTGAGTACCAGGAAACACAGCATCACTCGAAGCTGGGTTCATGTGGTGAGGATGTGAGCAACTCTCTTCAGGACTGACGGGATGACCGTGGCATCGTCTCGTATCCAGGTCTCCGCCGCAGCAGCGGCCAGTGGTCACAGTCAATGGCCATGAGATGCAAATGAAGACCCTCCAAGCGACCACCACGACTGGCTCCATGCGCCAACACCCAGTGAAGGTAGCTGCCGTGATTCTTGGAATCCATCACCATATCGTCATAAGACAGCTTCAAGGACGCGACTTTGGGTAGCTTGCAAATGGTGGTCCCCCAATCCTTCAGGTCTGCCACCCCAGGATGGAGCTTCAATCCAGTCTTAGAATTGGGCGGCACTGGAGCCTGAGATCCCGTCGGACCAGATGGAACTGTTTAGCTCGAGGAGTGCCCACCCATTCATAGCCCTCGCAGCCTGCATCCTTGTTCTCAGACCTCAGACGCTTGCTACTGTCGGCCATAGCCCTCATCATGCCTTCGGTGAAAAGAAGCTCCTCATGACCTGGGACACGACCCTGGGCATCCATGCGGTCCAGCAGCTCGCACAAAAGCTTGGCTTCCTCATGAGACATGACGAGAGATCCAAAATCAAATTGAAACACACGGATCAGACAGCGCAGCAAGGCTAGAGCAGATATTTCACTTATGCACCAAGATTCTGAGTAGATTGTTTTATCAGCAATCACCCTGTGAATCTCCCAGTGTGCCGATGACAATAAACACGCTCCAGGAAATAACCAAAAGATTATAGACCATGCAAGACAAAACTGATGTTCAGACTGCACACAGTCGGCTGCACTCTCACAAACTAATTGGCAACTGACGACTGGCTTCGCAAACTAATTTGCTGAATTCTTTGGCATGACTCCTTTGCTCTGACGAAGGGCTCTCAGCTTTTGCTCTCTCCAAGACGGTGTCTTCGTCCGCCAATTGGTATCTTGCAGATCGAATCACTGATCTCAGCAAATCCAGTGGCTCACCTTTGTCTTTGGTAAGCCCGTCTGCCAGCATATGTCCGGTCGGACACCATCTGGGCTCCAGATTGGCTCGGATGACACTCTGGCGAATGATGGCTACATCAATTGCAGTTCTCTTATCATCCAACGTACCTCCACTACCCAGTGAAATCAAGTGATCATACAGTGATCGGCAGTCTGTGATACCAATCATGGACCTCCTTTTCAACACCTCCAGAGATTCTTCCAAGCGGAACGGACCGTCCAAACACTCAGCAAGTAAAAGTTGGGACCACTCTGCCATACCGGATGCCGTGGCAAAGGCTTGTGCCTCGCCAGACAACGTGGAGGCCACTCCCCTGGGCAGCTTATACGACTTCCAGCTCATGCAGTGCACTGGAACATCCTCACCATGGCTCATACGTTTGGATGTCAAACTCAGCAACCAACCTCCCCGAGTTTTGAAATCATCAGTGTTTGCGAAGGCTGCATCAGACCAATGGGATGTAAGGCACTCCCATCTGCAAACCACGCTGTTGCGTACATCGACGAACAGCCTGATTGGCCGCAAGGAGATGCTGCACTGTCGGGTTAGGAAACGCCTGCTGCGACATGGAGGTTTGTATTGCCAAGTCTGGTCGACTCTGAGACGAGATCCAACCCAGTGCCCCATTTATGGCTCTAAGTGCTGAGACCTCTTTTTCAGTGGCTGGCAACCAAAGTTTCTGCACACACTCTTTGGAAACACTGATTGGATGGATATGTTCGGCATACTCATTTTGGTGGTAAACAATTTATCCATTGTCCACTTGTTGATAGAAGGTTCCCAGAAACTGTCCCTGTCCAGTCCTTCATTTTCTGAAGGGGAATCTATCTCGCAGAAATTGAACAGCAGATTCATATTTGGATCCAGACCCTCCTGTGATGGTGTCGTCCGCCTGCACACCAAGAACACCTTGAAGCTGTCCGTCACTACCATGGCAGAAATACAAACAGTTATCCAGTTTGGAACCAGTGAACCCTGCTTGCAAAGCAACTCTATCAAATTCCACATACCAATTGTGAGGTGCGTCGTTGGCCCCATTTATGTTTCCCAAGGCTTGTACCAGACTGCCCTTAGGAATTTCCGGAACTCCACCTGAAGGGAGCTCAGCGTACCCTGGTTTCTCTGAAGTCTGTTTGGAAACATCGGCTTCAAGAAAGCCCTTTTGATATCACCAAGATTCAACTGCCAACGATGACTCACAATGAGCTGCAAAATTGGAGAGTGGCAATGTCCGGACAGAACCTTCTCTACCAGATCCGGATCGTGATGACCCCTCAGGCACCACCGAGCCTTTGTGCGACTCGAATTGTCCTCCAGGTAGCATCATCTATGCGTTCCTGCAAAGCTGGAGGATTGTTGGACTGAGGCAGCTCCTGCTGGAGTTTCTTTCGCAAAAAGCTAGCCACCAGTGATTCCACATGCTCGTGGCTTTCTGCCATCAGAGCCTCAACCAGCAACACTTCGGTAGTGCGGGGAACCTTTGAACCAGGAGAATCCCCATGACTAGGGCTCTGACTACGTTTGCTACCATGCTGAGACATCTCATCCAGGACTTCATGCAAGTCTTCCTGGGCCAGTGCAGGTGGTCGGATCAACTCTGTGCCTCCATTGGAACCAAACGACGTATGCCTGATGGGCCCGTAGGTGTGGCTTTGACCACTGCTACCTCCATTACCAGTGATGGCACTCATTGTTGATCCAGATCCGGCAGCATCGGACTTGGCAGGTTCCCTACGCTCTTGCGGCGAGGGTTTGGGATCCTCTGGCTGAAATGTCTTCGAAAACTGAAACAGGTTCGCCTGCGACGGCTGGCACTTCTGACTCAATTGGCATGGCATGGAAGCAAGTGTGACCTAACCACGGCCTAGCTCTCAGTGGTGAACATGCGTTATGCTTATCTATAGACCATGGCTTGTCCATCAGCTGAGAAATCTCCAATCTTCCAATGGACGGCCAGCTATGAATGGATCATTGAGGTCAGGCATCAACTTACCCACTCGAAGCTTGTTGCCTGTTCGAATCAACACTCCATTTTCTTCATGCCAGGTGTCTGCCGACTCTGCGACTTGCTCACAATTGTCAGCTGCATCTGCCGGATTAGGTGGACCAGATTGGTGAGTAAGATCCACATACTGGCTGCCCAGCAAATTGTGACCATCGGCTGTCAGATCTTTGATGCCCAAAAGCTCTCGGCCGTCAGAGTGGGCCACTGCATGCTCAGTCTCCGATGCATGATGCAAATGCTTGGTGGCACCTTGACCATGTTCTGTCGATGAACCCATGACGATCCCAGTGCCATACCAACGTCCACCCACCATGTCTCACTCCCTTCGGATACTTTTGAGTTCTCCAGTAGCTGACGAAATCACCGGCCACAAAATCCCTCTCAACATGGGGCTTTGCATTCATGGCAGTGCGAAGACTGATCTCATCCTGTGACACTGCAACCGCAGTTCGGGGTGCCGTTCAAATTGCCAACGTTCGTGCTGCCTGTGCATCAAACAGAGGACTCGTGGCTGCCACTGGATCTGGCTCATCCTGCGGGAGATCACTGGCGATCCTAGGGTTGCGCCCAAACATATGTTGAACAGGACTTAACCCCCTATTTTTAATCATCTCATTTTTACTATTGCAAGTGGCCACGATGCATTGTTCGAACTCCTCTTGCGACGTTGGTTTTACCGGATCCAACACTTTCTGGAAAATCACCTCAAAAAAGTGACCATGCTTCTCCACCTTACTCAATTGGTTGTGAGCTTCGGCTGCCGTGCTAAGAACCCTGGTTCTTGTCAGTTCCAGTGGATCCACAAAAGACGCAGCTAAGTTGGTACGAGCTGGGTCTAAGATCACCTCGACCGGAGCTCCAGCCCACGACTGCCACCCACGCTGAAACAAGGATTTCAGCACATCAGCTGCTTCCACTTCAAAGAATGGGAACATGAGTTGAAACCCAGGGGCATAGTCGATGATATTCAAACATGTAACAGTTTGGTACACCTCCCAACCAGGCAGTTTCTTCACATCGGCCCCGATACAACTATCTGATGTGCTGATGCTGGCAAACATGGGTATGGTCTCTGTCGATGAAAGCAAATGTCACACTTGAAATCTGAGGCTAACCGAAGTGCTTGCTCGGATCCACCTGCGTTCTTGAGAATTCTCAACGCTTCTCGATTGGTCGGATTCCCCTAAATTATTATGGAGTTTTCGGAGGTCGGTCTTGACTTGTGAGTCGGATGGTGACTCCACTGCGGCAACAAGTACCTCAGACACCTGATCTACCGGACCCTGCTCAGCGGTCGTCGGAACCAGACGCTCCAGAGCCTCGATCATCTCCCTTGGACGTCGATTTGTTTGGACAATTTCGAGCCTAGTGGCCCACCTTCTGGCACTTGAAGCAGCGAGTCTGCTTCCTCACATCGCCCACTTCCACAGCGAACTTTTTTTTGACGACGTTCGCCTGGTTGAATCTGCAGCTCTTCTCCAGAAATGATATTTCTGCCCTCTTGTCTTTCCACGACGCAGCAAGGATCTCGACCGTCTCCTGCTCCGAGAAGATCTCACCAGAAGGTTCTCCTCGAGGTGCCATAGTTTCCACTACCAATAGGCTTTGCCATCCAAATCGGCTCCACTGAACCTTTTGAACTGGCCACAACCATCCTTGGTCTCTGTGGCCATGTCATTGCTTTGCACCGTAGGTTCCACCGGGAACCCGGCAACACCCCTCTGGTGCGAGCGAACCTGGGCGGCTCCGCTACCAGTTTAACTGGGGGTCACGCACTGACTCTCCTGAGTCCACACGACGGCGACTCCCAATGGCTGAACCCCCGTTTTGCCCTGAGCCGGAGTTGCTTTCGGTCACAGGCCCTTGCTGCAGATCCCTGGACATGTCACTGCTTTGAAATAAATAAATAAATAAATAAATAAATATATAAATATATATATGTGTGTATATATATATGTACACACGCCGTGTATATACATGCATATCTATACCCATCAGTGTTGGTAAATACCCTCAGGTAACATAGCTATGGAAAATCACATTTTTTCGTAGGTAAATCAACGAACTAAATGGCCATGTTCAATAGCTATGTCACAGTCATTACCAGGGGCCGAAATCCCATTGAATCACATGGTATAAATGCATTAAAAATCATTAAAAATCTACGTATAACTGGGCCATCAGTGGCAAATACCCATCACAGACCCCCCTCAAATTCTGCCAAAAAGCCGGGAATATCCTGCACCACAGGTGTTCGAAGGATCACACCTTCATCACCTGGAAGATTTGAACAGAAGGGATTCGCCAAGGAAAATAAGGAGAAAAAACCAACCAGAATTGGGATATAATGATGGGATATGGCAGTGTGTCAAAACCCTGTACCCCTTCTGTTCACATCAAAATAGCTGGGTTAAAATGGATGTTCATCCCCCTAAAAATGGTATTTTCATAGGTATTGATCCATACCCATATAAATCCAAACAATCTATAATAATGATGGGAATATACCCTCTGGTTATGACTATCATAGCCTATGGAAGCCATGACCCATAGAAATAGATGGTGCACCGATTAAAACAGTGATGATTTTCCATGGCTATGTTAAATAACCAAAGGGTAAATCCCAAATAATCTATGTGGTAGCACTTATAAACATGTTTTTCATTCATGGGACCCTTTTTTGGTGTGTCTGAAAATGGGGGACATGGATTTTCTCCGAACTTTTAAGAGCCTCTGCTTAAGGGAACATGATGATAAACGACAGGATGGTGCCCCCGCAGTGATGTTTGTTGGTTCATAAACCCCATTCACATCCATGAAAACTAGTTTGTTACCATAAACCATAAACCATGGAAGTCAGCCACAAAAAAAGGCAACTGAACTATCTTGGGGGCCCCATCTTGTAGTGGATTTTCGGGTATCGAAAGCTGATGTCATGACTCAATGGACCTTGGAGCGAAGAAACTGATCCCACTGATCCCCAAGGATCACCGAGGACCCGGCCAGCCACCCAGATGGAGGGCTCCTTGCCACCAGTCTTCACCAAGAATTCCTCCTCAACAAAAATCCACACCCTGGAAATCCCCGGTAACGAAAAAACGTGTTAACATTACTCATCAAGAAATGAGGATTTAATGGGATTTAATTGGATTTAAAAGGATTTAATGGGATGTTCACCTCTGGTAATTTGCTATAGCTATGGAAAATCAGCATTTTTCACAGGAAAATACAGGTAAATCATCTAACTAACTGGGGCATGCCTTCCATTGTTGAATTACCATTGAGGGTAGTAGAATATTCCCAAAAAATCACCCAGCTTTGCAAGCCAGTAGCTTCCAAGGTCCCAGGAGTCACGGCTGATCAGGATTTAAATGAGGATTTTGCATCCAAACCTTAGGGAAACTGGGTGTTTTTAGAAGGCCGGCAGGAGCTTAAAATAAAGCTTTCACGGAGCCTAAAATTGGAAACTTTGTTTAACAACTTCTTTTGTAACTTTTTGACTTTCAAACATATTTAACTTCTTTCGATAAAAAATTGTAGAAACTTTCAAGAGAAGTTTTGAAAACAACTTTTTGAGAAATGAAAGATGAGCTTCAGGTTTCAGCCTGGAAGTTTAACATCGCCTTGTCGTTCCAAGGCGGCAACATTTACTACAAAGGCTAGTTCCTGTCGTCCCTGATCTCCAGAGAAATGTCCACTGCGGTTTCGCAAAAATGGTGCGCCCAATGTCCAAGACCTCATTTCTAGTTTTTCATATGGGTGTGTCTGAAAATAGTGTACCCCTAAACCCAATGGTTAATGATCATTATCCCTATTAAATGGCTATTTCATTGGGAATATACCCTATTTTCAGACAAACCCATATCAAAAAACTGGGGGATTAAAAAAAAAACTTACCCAATCTGGTGTCGTCAAACATGGCTGGAAACTCCACCAGTAACCGATGATTAAACCCGATGTTCAAATGCCCATATTTATGGCACCCATATTTATGGCATTTCTATGCAGTTCTGATCATTTATGGTGGATTTCCACTTACCATGTTGGATTACGATTCTTAGATACCCTGCAAAATATTAAGAAAAGTTGGCTGGTTAGTAGATGTTCCTATTGAAATCGCAAAAGGTGAAAGGATTAAACTACCCATCGGGTTGGTTGACCTAGGATTACCAAAGGTTATCTGGGTCATTTTGGCGGTGTCGATGCTTCAGAGCTGTATCTCTGCTAATCATGGAGACCCTCCTTGTGTTCACAGTTCCAAAAAATAGCCAGGTCTTTCTGAAAAAAAACTAGAAAAGCAACAAAAGTCATCATCGTCATGATCATCTACCGATACACCCAGTTTTTCCCTACTCTTTCCCTACATTTCTCATGGTTCCCTTCACAGCAGGCCCGGTTTCCGTGCAGCTCCACTCCTTGGTGCCGCCGAAGATGAAATTTCCGAAGACCAAAATGGCCTCGTCCGTCATGTTTTCGATCCGCACCTGATGCAGGGCTTCTCCAAAGGCCATCGCCACGTGATTGGCGCTGAACTGGTGCTACGGTGTGAAATATTCCGCTAGTAATTAATGTATTACCAGATTCTCATCTTGGGGATTTTAAACATAATATGATGTGGGGTGATTGAGTCATCGGGTAACTATATTGGAGTTGTAACTGATTATGTGTATTTGCCCATCATTAACTGATAATTCTCCGGAAACTGATCGTCAATTGGCCCAGCATTGGCCCTCAACGAGTCCGTCCAAGCAAATCATTGAAGTGTCAGTTGAATAAAAAATTCTTGGAGTTCTAATTCCAACCACCTCTTCTAGTTACCCCCCAACTATGGATATATGCTTCGAACCCGACGTATCTGACTGCATGGCCTGTCGTTGGTATATTCCTATTGAAACCCATGGTTGCGGTCCCCCATTTTGAGAGATCCACAATTATGTCGGTAATTTGTTGTAGTTATTATATACTGGTTGGTGGTTTTAACCATCTTGAAAAATATTAGTCAATGGGAAGGATTATCCCATATATTATGGAAAATAAAAAATGTTCCAAACCACCAACCAGTATATGTAAATAGATTTCTGGCTGGTTCGAAGGATACTTCCGCTGGTCAAATAAATTTACTCTTGCCAGCGGAGGTCCCAAGTCTGCCCATGAAAAGCGGTTGTTGCCAGGGAAATTGAAATGACGTGTTGATTATCTCCATTGATGATATTCTTTTGGGAGAAATTGCTTCGGCGTCGCTGTGTTGCCATGTCCAATTCCTTCCCAAGTAGGATGAACCACCTAAACATCCTGAATTATTCATCTCTGTCTGTTGGTCAGCTCCCTTCTATATCCATTCATAGGGTGATCTTCCATGAAAAATGGTGATGTTCCGTCGAACAATTTATGAAGATTCATTGAAAGTTTTGGATTATCCCTTTAAACTCCTGGTGGTTTTCCATTGAACACGTTGATTTTGCATGGAAATTCCATTCAAAAATGGTGAAGTTCCCATTTTTTCACGGATTTTTCATGGATTTTTCATGGCGTTTTGGCGTTTTCAAACGGGGGTGCCCTGAAGCATCTTGGGTCCCGCCGCGAGTCCCCAGCTCCGTTGCCTGCCAAAGCCTCACCTGCCATCGCCTTGGGCGAGACCAGTGATCGCGCTCCTCGGCTGAGCCCAAGTATAGTTATTAGTTATTGGATATGAATGGATAAGTTAATGTAATGATAATGGATATAATATTAGATATTATATATATACATATATATATATAAGAGGTTCTTCTTACTGGGATTGTATAATAATCATAACAACTAAAATCATCAAACTATAACTATTAGAAGTTATAACCCAGTTATAACCAGTTAGATAATGGTTATGTTAACTATTGCGAAATGGTGGGCTCAAGATGTTACGTAGTAACAGTAACCATCAGTTATAACTATAGAAACTATTAGAAATTATAACCCAGCTATTGGATGTAATGAGGTAAACCCGCCATAAACCATCCTATTCACCATCCATCAGGTCCTATGTTTCAATAATCCCATGCCTAGGCGGGCTGCAATCATGGCTTTAAAAAAACAGCCGTTCATGCCTTATGTTTTGTCGTTTGGGATTTAAACCACCTTTAGGAATATAACCCAACCCAAACATGCAAAATCGCTGGATAACCATACTTGCAACCCAGTTATTCGATGTTGTTACGATGATCTTTATTGGAGAAGATTTACACACCACAGGGCCCACCCACTTCGAAGTTGGGTTAGAAAAGTAACCCCACCTAAGTACAGATTCATCCACTAGCAATCCAACGGCCTACTCAAAAAAAAAAAACAGCGTACCCATCGTCTCGGGCCCCTTCCTGTAGGACTTTGCCACAAAAAAGCGGGCATTTTCATGATCAACGCAAGGAAGGAGCTTCAGAGAATAGGATTTTAGCAAAGAACAATTGCCACCAAACATTCAGATAAAATCTCACTTAAAAGGCTTGACACCTTGAGCAAAAATTGGGACAGCAAACATACCCAATGTTTTTCCAGTCACACTTAAATTGGGCTAACTTTAGCCCATCGTTTACCTTAAGCAGACGTGGCAAACGAAAAAAAAAAACATGGCCCCCATCAATTGGGAAAAGTCCGACCTGACGGCATCTGGATCCAACACACCATGGACCTCCAGGCCTTATCCAAGCGATTTGAAAATCATGGTCCAAAGCCAAGGAATTTATAGTGATTTCATGGAATTTATAGTGATTTAATGGAATTTATAGTGATTTAATGAGATATTAATGGGATTTACCCTCTGGTAAACTAATCAATGGGAGATCTCCAGGATCCAATTGATGGAGGTACTGTACTGTACCATATTTCAGGCCATATGAATTGTGGTGATATTCCCTGAAATTAAGGCCTTATATAGGATCCTGAAATTCCCATTGAATGGATGATTGTCATAGTTTCCGCTATTTGATGATCAAAAAGCGAGTTTCGCGATGATTAGAGAAACCCACAATGTGAAAAATCCCCAGTATCTACCATGAAAAAAAACATAACTTATGTTATCTGCTACGAACTTCGCTAACTACACTTACTACATTTGAACATATTTTTAGCTATTGAAGATCACAACCTTTTGTAGCTACATCGAACTAAATGGGCCTCGGCCATCTATACCAGTTTGCGAATTGTAAATTACCGAAGGGTATGGGGGCACCAGCATCTGTATATATACCCATATATATATATACATACTTATCTACCAACTTAGCTCACTAAACCATCCCAAATCCACATCAAACTTGGGTAATTCATGCTGTTTATCACCCAGTTCCGTGGTGATTCACGGCCGCTCCTGCTCCGTATCACCCCTTGAGGGAGGGTTGGTGCGATCCGAAACTTCCTGGCTCCGGTGTTTGGGAGATATGACATCCACAGCCCAGTGATGTGCATGTTGGTTTATAAACCATGAAACCCCCACGAATACTAGGTAGATATATAACTATAGTATTCATGGATCTTAACTATGTTTTATAACTATGGTTTATAAAGTTTAAAAAAAAAAAACATGAATACTATAGTCATAAACCATAGGAATCAGCCACTTATAAGGCAACTGAACGCTATCCAACGGGGGCCCCATCCTGTGTTTTCTAATTGGTAAATATTGGTAACTATGAAACACTGTAACTAATGGGATGTTAATGGGATAAACCATATACCATCTGGCTATTTAACATAGCCAGGAAAATCACCATTTTTAATAGGTAAACCATCTATATATAAATGGGCCATCAATACCATGGCTATGTTAAATCACCAGAGGGTACCTATGTGAACAACATACTCTCTGCTACCTAATCCGGCAATGGGAAAATCTACTCTAATCATATCCAATCGACCTACTGTATCCGATCTATTCCAATTGATCCCATCATCATTTAACCCATCACCTGCACAACTCAGCACTTTGGAACCATTTCTGATACTTAAGTCACTTAAGTCACTTAAGTCCCTTATATCAGTGATATCCCATGATCTTTCTGAAATCCCAAGAAAAATCACAAAAAAAAACCGATGAAAATCCCTGGGCCGTCCTTGAAGAACTGCTCCTTGCTGATCTTTCGCGTCTTCGCAACCTGAAGGACTTCATCCTCGCCCTCCTCATCTCCTGCAGAGAAACGATGTGAAATTCCTGAGATGCCTCGGTATCACTGAAAATCGCTGTGTAGAGCAACCAAACAAATAGCCTCTGGTAATTAATGGTATATTAATGGGATATTAATGGTGTATTAATGGTATATTAATGTTATATTTATGGATTTTACCCTCTGGTTATGACTCACAGTTTGCCATGGTATAGATGGCCCATAGAAATAGATGATTTTCCCAGCTATAAACCTCCATATATTTTTGGGATTTTCCATGGCTATGTTAGTCATAACCAGATGGTAGATTCTCGCTAATTTTAAAAGGCCTGGATTTACGGATGTTCACCCCCTGAAAATATGATAATAAGTATTGCTCCATAGCCTTTCCATAGCCTTAAAGAAACGGATTAGGACATAATTTGGGAGAATTTTGCCATCTTTCCCCACATAGGCCATGGTCAGAAGTAGATCGGATATGGTCATCCATCCCACAATGGGAATTCTTCTGGTGTAGAATAGAATCCCTATTAATGGATTGATGGCCATTCCCCGAATATCGGTACACAATCGATGTTGGATGATTTTTGCACCATGGCACATATGGGTGTGTCTGAAAATAGTGTACCCCTAAACCCAATGGTTAATGATCATTATCCCTATGAAAAATGGCTATTCCATTGGGAATATACCCTATTTTCAGACAAACCCATATATGAACCAAAAAAAAATCCCTATTGATCCCCCTTTAGCCCACCGTGGGAAGCCGCGCTCCTCCCCCAGCGTCGTCGCCACCTTCAGCATTCTCTTCGGGTTTCTCCTGGATCGCCGGTGAGTGGCCAGTGGCAGCCAGTGGCAGCCGGTGGATGTTGTTGAAACCAGAAGTAGACGGAATGGCCAAGTCAAGTTTGGCCATGCCCAAAGAAAAGCTATAGATAGCCGAAATAAAATGAGGTTGAGGGTTACGGGGACACATATTCTTTCTGCTCCAGGATGACTCCGTCATTTCAACAGCTGAGTTGCCCCAGTTGAAACAGGGCGCAACTAATCAATGGAACAACCATTGGGTCAATGGGAATTCCAGGATCCTAAAATAGAGGTACTGTATCATATAAGGCCATATTTTGGGGGTATATCCCCTTACATAGGCCTGAAAAATAGGCATTATATATGGTAGGTACCTCCAATTTAGGTTCCTGGAATGGCCATTGATTGGAATATCCCCACAAAATATGGCCTTATATGGTACAGTATCTCCATTTCAATTGATAGTACTTGACCAGGTTTGGTGGTTGCCGACCCATTTGGCTATGGATCCAAAGCCCAATCTCTGGTTTAATATCGAGCTGTAGCGAGCTATTGTTTCCAGCTTTTCTAATCAAAGGTTTTGACCCAAAAAAAAAATGTGGTAAACCCAAGAATAAGCCTTATTGTGGAGGATGCGTTCGATACCCCCCAAAATGGTTTATAGTAAAATTTTGGAGGTGGTTGTAGCATTTTGTTGACCACATTTTAATTGGACAACCGCAGTTGCAGGCCTTAGTTGGGAATGGATCAACACTACCTACCCCCATTCGAATTGGATAAACTCCACCTGGATGCCTACCTTCAGAGTGCCTCAAATACCCAATTTTGGGGGATGCTTAGATACTTCCAATGTCCCAGACCTTCTTTGGGGCATAGGCGGCATAGGGTTGCTACGAAAAAAAAACAAGCCACAGCCCCGCCTCATCTGCCTTATCATCCTCCTCCTCCTGGTGGCACCGCCGTTTGTGTCCAAACTAAGGGATGTGCGATGGCATTTAAAATAATCTTATTCAATTATTTCCATGACATTCCCTCAATGGAAGATTCATCAAGGGGAGGAAAATCGCAAATCATATGGATATTGGTCGAAATCAGTACCCCAATCATTAGATGGCTATATAATACTGCAAGGTGAGGTCCCCCAATGATGTGAACCTTGGTGAAATGTTTCACCGCATGAATACTATAGTTATACCCCCAAAAAAGACCCTGGTTGACCAAGTTATTAGTTGGGGGCCTCAACTTGTAACAATGAGACTAACACCCCTGGATGCGGAAAAAAAAAAACACCCATTCCCACACCCTTCTTCAGATCCCAACACAAACTGGGCAATTTTAGGGATGTGACAGCGCAACGAGGGTTTGATTCATTGATCCTCCACCTGCAAAATTGCAAAAGTTTTAGACCAACCCAAATGAATCCGTTTTTCAAAAACCACACCCTTGCGTGGTAACTCGTGGTATTCCTTGTATTCCATGCATCATTCTACCGAGTTTCATGGGATTCTCGTACATGATCCCGTATTTGGGGACAAAAAAAATCAACCAAGCATTTGATCTGGCATGGGATGAGGAGAATGGGATGAGACAAGAAAAGGAGTGAAGTAACCCCCAAATCCCAGGAATTCATAGGAAGTCCTTCTTCTCTTCCTTTTTTCCTCCGAACATGTCACCATTCGGCTACCTGCAGCCGCATCCAAGAAAAACAGCTGGCACCAGTGGAAAGGTGGAAAACACTATTCCACAGAGCCACCATGTAATTGTTTTCTCAATTCAACCCAGCGAACTCCCCTTTTAGTGATTGCAATCATCCAAGTTTCCTGGTCATATCCTTATAGTTTATCTATTATCAAGTATCGATTTGTGTATTGCTTAAATCACGTTCCTCATTCTTCGGGTAGTTACCATGATTATCCCAATGTTCAATGCTGGTTGTTTTTGGTTAGTAAAGCGGCAACGATCTCAGGAAACATCGTGGGTTGAATTTTCAACGATGAAACATCGATGTGACCACAAGATGGGGAAAACCCAGTGATGTTTGTTGGTTTATAAACCCATCTAAATATAGTTATTTGCGTATCATACACTATTTCTATTATAGTTATTTGCACCAACTTGGCTAACGAACTGGGGCCCCATCCTGCAGGAATGAGATTTGTTTGTCAAACGTTCATCCAATTCTGGGATATGTGATATGTCAATATGTCATCAACCCAATGACAAAACTGGTCTTTGTTAAATAGAATCGAGAACACTGTTGGAACTGTTTACAAACATGTTCAGCAAAAAAACGGCGATCAGGACATTTTTGGTATGCCTCTGAAAACAATGTGTTAGTTGTGTTAAATCTACTCTCGAGTTCTCTATCCAAACATAGATTGAACATAATTTGGGTAAACATAAATTATGATGGAACTACATGGCCAATCTGAAAAAAAAACCTGCGAGGGAATTAAAAAAAGTTAGCTGGTTTTTGTAGATGTTCCTATTGAAATTCAAAAAAATCAAAGGATTAGTTTCCACCCATCCAAGGATGACCTAGAGTAGGTTTTCACATGTTTCTGACCCCAAGTCGTCTTGACCTTCTCTTGGTTTGAAGAATGATGAAGATCTTGGCCTAGACGGCCTAAACACAACCACTTCACTTTATGGACCATCCCAATGCATCAGAGTTCAAATATGTTGTTACCCTCGTGATTCATTTACCCTCCGGTAAACTAACATAGCTATGGAAAATTGCCCATTTATAGTTGATTTACCAATTAAAAATGGTGATTTTCCAGTTCGCTATGTTAGTTTACCAGAGGGTATCAATAATTTACCAATATTTACCTGGTTGGTGGTTGAGCCTGCCCCACTGAAAAATGAGTTCGTCAGTTGGGATGATGACATTCCCAATAAATGGAAAAATAAAATTCATGTTCCAAACCACAAATATTTACCTATTCAAAATGGTGATGTTCCATATAGCTACATCACAGATTGCCATTTAGGGTACCCTAAATGGTAATGAGTTCAATGGTAAATCACCCAGTTATAGTTCGATTCCCTTTTTTCGATACCCTCTAGGGCTCTAGGGGGATTTGCCAGCCATGTTTTTCATGGCACCGGAGGTTTTTTATCCATTCATGATTGTTGTGCCAATAACACTCTCGATGAAACCAGATAAAACCATATGAAACGTCCATTACACACCCATTGTTGATCATTTTTCGGAGTTCATTTTCAGTGGAAAAAAATTGTTCATTTTCATGATATTCCCATGACAAAATTATGATCAACTCCATAATATTCCCATGAAAAAATGGCTCATTTTCAGTTGATCCACAGCACGGACCCCTTGGAAGTTTTCACCACCGGCAAGTTGCTGCTTGGCGTGCCACGGTCATGGTCCCAAATATGTGGAAATTCTCTACAACCATGGTTTCGTTTGGCCTTGAATAGAGGGAATGGATTACATCCTTCAATCCTTTACTATTTCGAAAGATTGGAACGAATCAATTTTCGCGCCTAGAGACGAAAACTATTGGATGGATTTTCCAGTTTGCAAGGGTCGGCACTTGCTGTGGCGTGCAAAATGTTGGTGCAATCCAATGGTCGTGAGTCTAAGCATCCACTTGTTTGGACTGTTTGCGTAAACCATCATTCACGATTTGGTTCCCTACATGTGATCCTTGCTTTCATGATGTTCGCAACTCACGTGTTGAGAAAACACCTGAGTCGACCTGTACATTTACACTCATCACATCTATCAAGAAAATGACCATATCAAAATGTTTCGAGATCTTGATGCCCATGTTTGTTTTCATCCTGATTCCACGATGGTACATTTCAGCAGCTTCCTTTGAGCCACATTTCCTCGCGGAATCGACGAGTAAAAAATGGATCCCCGTTGGAATTCAACGAGTGACGGGATCGGTCCCCAATTTGTAGACACCAAAATGCATGCACTACAAGTTTTGAGGCCTGAATTTTTTTTACTACAATCTGCTAATTCATCAAAAAAGTAGTTCTACTACAAGTTGGCTAAATTTTCGCAAAAAAAATCATCATAAGGACCTTGGGTAGTTTGTAACAATTTTCCATCCCCAATATTCAACATCCAACATCATCAGCCACTTCCTCCATGGCAATTTGTAGCACTGGTTTGCTAATTCGCTCTTGGTCGAAGGAATCCTGCCCCTACAATTGTCTAGCCCCTAAAAAGTTGCCATTAACAAAAACAAGAAGTGGCCGCGCAGATTGTAACCATGATATGATGCATCCTTCCTTGCAAGAATGTACATGGGTTAATCTCCGTGCAATATCACAGCGCATTTTTGAAATGTGGAACACCTTTTGGTCTCAATCCCTTCCAGGCAACAACTCCAACAACCCCAGTAGAAACGAAAAAACAGCAGCAACAAACAACACTTTTCACGGATAAAAAAACTGTGTCAGATTATGATGCACTTGCTCTTAAGAAAATAAAGCAAAATCAAACCGCCGCAAACCCTCCCAAAACAAACCAACAAGAAAAAATGCTACAAAGTGGATGGGTACAATGTTGTCAAGTGCAAAAAAATGAAGAAGTCTCGCAGAATTGCTTAGTTTTCAAATTTGCAGATAGATAGACAGACAGACAAACAGAGAGAGAGATAGATAGATAGATAGATAGATAGATAGATAGATAGATAGATAGATGGATAGATAGATAGATGGATAGATAGATAGATAGATAGATTGGTTGATTGATTGATAGATCAGCTAGATAAGTAGATAGATAGATACATAGTTAGATAGGCATATGAGAGAGAGAGAGATTAGATGAGATGAGATGAGATTAGATTAGATTAGAATAGATTACATTTTGATTTTGATTTAGATTTCGATTAGATTAGATTAGAAAGATAGATAGACAGATAGATAGATAGATAGGTAGATAGGTAGATAGGTAGATAGGTAGATAGATTGGTTGATTGATTGATTGATAGATCAGGTAGATAGGTAGATAGGTAGATAGGTAGATAGATAGATAAACAGATAGATAGACAGATAGATAGATAGATAGGTAGGTAGATAGATAGATAAAAAGATAGAAAGATACATAGACAGATAGATAGACAGATAGACACATGGACAGGTAGATAGAGAGAGAGTTTGATCGATAGATAGATAGATAGATAGATAGATAGATAGATTAGATAGATAGATTAGATAGATAGATTAGATAGATTAGATAGATTAGATAGATAGATAGATAGATAGATAGGTAGATAGATAGATAGATAGATAGGTAGGTAGATAGATAGATAGATAGATAGATAAACTTAGATAGATACACAGATAGATAGATCGATAGATACATAGATAGATCGATAGGTAGGTAGGTTGATAGTCAGAGAAAGACAGCAAAAGAGAGAGAGAAAGAATGAGAGAGATCAAGCACCTGTCAGTCAATGAGTGGCTTCGCTCTGCCATCCCTGATTCACAACCAACCTCTCCTATAGGTTTCCTGTTTTTGAAAGTTCCGCCACCGCCTTGTGCGGTACCACTGGTATGAATACTTATGTTCAAACAGCAGCTACCTTTCGTTTGGGTTCGGCTGAATCTGTGGAAATGGCGTTTTCCTTCTCGTGCGCTTGCGGGCGCTAAAGCCAATTCTGTAATATGCATACTGCAACCACAGATCTCTGCTCAGCTTTCTGCGGGCTCCCAAATCATCAAACTCTCAGACCACGAGTATCTTTCTTACTGTACTCATCCGACTAGAGATGGTTTGAGCCGACACTTTGAGCCAAAGGCTACGGGATCTTGTTTTGGAGTTGCGACATGACTTTTTTTTCCTCGGGTTCGACCGATTAAGCTCAAAGACTCGGTCCTGAAAAACAAGACGGAGACGCAATGGAATCTCTGCAAGCTGTACAAGAAAAAAAATGGTGGCAGAAACAACACACCCACAACCAGACGCAGGGAAGAAGTGCACATCCCCCAGTCAGATATGCGTATCTTGCCATACGGACGAGAAACAACAAACACCAACAGAACAGCAAAACGGGCCCGAAGCCCAAACACAAAACAACCACAATCAGCCACCAAGAGCATTGATGGAAAATTCAACCCACCAATGCATACAGGACCCTTTTTCAAAGCCGTCCAAACGCCACCTTGGATCCCTAAGCTGGGTCAAGTGCACGTGACAGACCCGGCATCCCATTGCCCTCGGAAACAAAGATGAAAGTGCAAGTTTCTGCAAAGTGAAAATATTTTTGTGAAGCAGCAGTCGCAGTTCGCAGAGTCTGGTGCAAGGAAGCGACGCGGCAAACCACGACTTGACCAACACATACGCAGCAACTGTAAGGCGCGGGAGCGAAATCCAGATTGAGCAAAATGCGGTTCCAAAATCAGGGCCTTAGAACAGGCAGTTTTGCGGTGACGTATGGACATACCTGCAGAGCAATCACCATCTTGGTGCAGCGGGCTCGCATATATGTTTTTGATTTTAAAACGACATTGTGTTTCTTGCATGGGGTGTTTGATTTTTAGCACTGATTTCACAGGATCCCTCCCCAACTGAAAACGTGAATGTCGTAGCTCATACACCTCCTCAACCTGGACCTGGGCCAAGAGGTTTGGAGGCAAATCTTTCAAATCCAAAGTGCTTTTCAATTGATTCCGCCCGTCGCATC